ATTATATGAAAACTTAATTAATATAGAGTACTATATAGAATCATTAGGATTGCAAATATTGATTGATTAATGATATAAACATAATTAATCAAATTTATTCTTAGCAAATCATAAAGTAAGAAAAATTAATTAAGAGAATTTTACATAAATTTAGCAAAACTTTTTATAATTCATATATTATAACTATATTATATTGTTTTATGGATATTACGAAAGCAAATAGATCTGTCGAAAAAAAATTTCCATTTTTAAAATTAGTATTAATTACCAAATGAAAAAAGAAGAAAGAGAAAAGCGAATCATTAAAAAAACAAGGTATTTTTCTTCGTTCTACTTTTCTTTTCAACAACTAAAGATGAAATGAAAAACATTATACATAATTTCTTGATATCGTTATTTAAAGCATAATGAATAGACATAAACAAATATGAAGCGATTCATTATTTAACTTTCTTCATCTCTCCTTCAATCATCATGAATCTACTGAATTCTATTTCCAACAATCGAATGAATAATGTCAGAATCGATCTTAATGAATTACATCGTTGCATTGCAATGATTGCATGACAAAAGTGGTTATGTATCGGAATAATGATTCTTCTCAAATTATTTCCTCAATTCTATCTACTGTTATTAATAATGTTTGTTATTTCATATGTGAAAAATTTGTCCTCTTCAATTTTTTAGCTTTTTCAATTGGGCTATATCAATCATCCAACACACCATTGAATCTTTCAGAAGACGAATCGATGATGATCATCCTTTTGAATTTTCTGGAAGACAAATCGATGATGATACGAGGATAAATGAATATTGTTTCAGTAATTCATAATTTTTATAACGTTTGTTGATATTATTCTATTCATTCCATCAATTTCTTGCACTTACAGAATTCGTAATTATGTACTTTTAGGGAGCAATCAATTTTTTTCACATTCATTCAACAAATTCTTTTTCAACAAATCACATGAAATCTTCCGTTGAGAAAAAGAAGTTTAAATGAACAATTAAGAAGGAAAGATTTTTTTTTCGTACTTATTTTAATTTCTTCGGAACATCCCAAAAGGGTATTCCATTAAAATATCAAATGCATATCAACTGAACGTAAATTATATACAAGAAGATTATTGGATGGAACAATAATTAGAGCAATAGAAAAAGGGATCAAGAATCTTTGAATGAAAACAAAACAACAAAAATGATCGATCTATAACTTATAATAAATCTAATCAAACTACCGATTCATTTCAATCATTTGTAATAAGAAGAGGAATTTTATAATTTTACAATTTTATACCTACTAAAGTATTAACGTAATAAATTTAGCTAATTAATAAATTAACTAAATGAAGAATTAAAATTTATCTAAATCTTCATAATAGCATCATATATAAGCCATTCTCAATTTATTACTGTTTATGGAAAAGTTATTACTGTTTCAGGAATACTGAAATAAATCAGATTAGCATTTCTTTCAATTAGAATCACATTCAGGAAAGAAAAAGAATTAGATCAAAGCAACGGATGTAAAAATGTAAAAGCTATAAAAATCAAAATAAATGTCGTTAAAAAAACAAACAATTCTACATTTAGAATATTTTTGTCAAAGATTTCATCAATATTTAATAGAGAGAAAATGAAAACATTTAAATTGAAGAAATTCAAACTCTATTACTTTTATAATCTTATCTTTAATCTAATATTTATTTCCATAAATTATCGAATAATTCATTTTGCAAAATTATCATATCATTTTTGATATGATAACTTCTTTTCGTAGTAAATTGTTACAATACTGTTAAAATGCTACAGTAATAATTTTCAATGATATTGTCAACTTTTTTTCTCTTCCTTCTTCAATTTTTCATTTCTTATTGTTCTTTTCCTTTTTCTTTTTTTTTAAAGTAATTTGCGGTTAGCCCATATTTTCTTCATTTTCGCTCTCTTATCATTCTTATCATTTCATTCAATATAATATATCTCTCTTCATCTATCAATCTTTTTGTTTTATTCTTTCAAAAAAGATATAAATTTAATGTTAAATGATAGAACAGAGAATGATACAGAATGATGTATGTATTATCGTTTTGATCATACAGTAAAAGTAACATAATATTTCCACTTCTCTCTCTCTCTCTCTCTCTCTCTCTTCATTTTGCATTTAACAAAATAAAATTTAAAATTTTCAAATTTCTCTTTTAAAAAGTGCATGTTTTTCCTACTTTTATTTATCTCTTTTTCTTCCTTTTTTTTTTTCCCTGCAAAAATGAAAACAAAAAAAAACACGAGAAATGAAAGAGATGAAAGCAATAAGGGTAAAATGTGGACGACGAATGAGAAGGAAAGAGTGTGCTCAAATAAAAGTTTCCAAATAAAAGAGAAGAAAACCTTTTATCTCTCTCTCTCTCTCTCTCTCTCTCTCTCTGCAAAAAATGTCGAAAATAGAGAGAAAGGGAGAGAGAAAAAAAGAAAAGAAAAAATATAGGGAAATAAATGTGTAAAATGAAAGGAAAAAAAAAGAACAAGATAAAAGAGAGAGAGAGAGAGAGAGAAAAGAGTGAAATGAAAATGAAATGAAATGAAATGAAATGAAATGAAATGAAGTGATGCAATAAAAAGTACATCCGGTTGATGTCCAAAATGAAAAAGAAAAAAAGCACATCATTTTCAACAAGCAATGAAAATAACAAAAAGTGCAATCATCATCACCACCACTACCACCACCACCACAACAACCATTCGCTACTCTTTATCTTTCATTTCATATTTCAAAGAAAAAAAAAACCCGTTAAAAGAAGAGAGAGAGAGAGAGAGAGAGAGAGAGAGATGAAAAAAAAAAAGGATCCGGTAAATTTGAAATTTAAATTTAAATTTTTTTTTTAAAATAAAATAAATTCAAATAATATTATTTATATGAAGAAAAATTACAATTTAAGCAAAATTTTATTTTAAAAACAAATCCTAAATTATAAAACCAAATAAATTATTTATTTTTAGTAATTTAAAATTAAAATATTTTAATTCATTGATAATTTTTTTTTCCATACTAAAATAAAAATTAAACTTTCTTTTTTTTTTCTTTTATTATAATAAATTAATTGTTTTATATGATGAAAAAAAAAAAGAAAATGAAAATGAAAATCTTTTATTCCAAACATATTTTTACGAGGTGGTCAAATTGATTGAAATGTACTAATTTTTCTTTTTCGTTCTTTCTTTCGTTTTTTTTGAAATTGATGTGTTTTTTCCAATCTTCCCCTTTTATAGAATAGTGCAACTTAACCATAAACAAAGCTATGGGATTACTGTATTAAATTTTTATGAGATTCTTTGGCCTTGGGCGATATACTTTGTGTTGTTTACGAATACTCCGATAATTACTATTGCTTTTGCTCGGAAAAAAAAAAAACGAAAAAACGGAAAAACGAAAAAAGTTTTTGGCATTAAGCCAAAGTAAAGTTTATTTTTTTTTCTTTTTTTTTGAAAAATTTTTTGTTCCAAAAAATTATTGCAAATTAAAATATCAATGGTATCCTAAATGTTGACAGGTGTGAAAAAGTAAATTAGAGAAAATTAGCGCTTTTCATATTTTAGCTTTATTGCTAAAAATGTAAAACAAAAAGAAAAGGTAAATAAAAGTATATTTGAAATGAATTGAAATTTTATGACTGCTAATTATGTTAATTAGTTCGTTTGTAAAATTAAGAGAAAATGAATAATTATTTTAGGTGTGGAAATTGTATGAATGGAATTTTAACGATTTGATCGGTTATTTCTTTCAAGTTTTCAAACAGCATTTTAGGAATTATGCATTCCTAGTCGCCTACATAATCTGGAGAGATATTTTCCGAAAGAATTCTAAATGATAGGATGCTGTTATTTCTTTTTTTCTTTCTTTATAATCATTTGGGTAAACGGCATTGGAATTTAAAATGAATTTCAATAATTATTATAAAAGGTAATATTAACGTTGAGATAAGTAAACGACAGCAAATGAATAATAGGTAATATTAATGAAATTAACATAAAAAGAAGGTAATGATGTCAATCCAATCAGTTGTATCATTGATTTCAAGACACTTATAATCGATTAATTTCAAATTAGAATTAAAAAGAAGGAAAAGAGAGAAAAATTTCTGATCGGATATTGAAATCTCTTGAAATGAAAAATTCAAAGAAATTGAAATTTTTTAATTCTGCGAATATAACCAATCAAATAGAAAGTAAACATATAAGAGATTAACCTAAATCATAATTTCTTTCATTACCTCTTTCTTTTCCCTTCCATCTGCTCAATTGATTAAAACCAACTAATCTGCAACATCGTTGCAAAATTATATATTTATCTTATACCTTTCATAATTTATAATTTTATGAAGAAAAATTTGAACGTTCGATAAAGAAAATTTGAAAAGAATTGTAATTAATACTTCATGTCTGTTTATTTGAATAGAAAATATCTTCTAACTTTCCTTTGATCTGTCACATTTCGATGATAATTTTGATAAAATTTAGTTTATAGTTATCGAAGCTTTCAAAATGAATAATGGAAGAATTTGCAATAAAAAATTCGCTACAGAAAGTTAAATTTTTTGAATGAAAGGCATATTTTGATGCTTTTAATCATGAAAAGAATTTACTTCTCTTTATTGAAATTTAGCAAAAAATTGATATTAAATGTTTTCAATATATGCTAATAACCATATATGCTCCATTGTTACCAGTCGTAAATTCTTTTTTTTTAAACTATCTAACTTTGGATGCAAAAGGTTTGAATGAAAGGTGAAAAAAATGGAAATTAAAAACTGATTGTTTTTAATATTTACATAATTTGTAGATGTTTAAAAATTTGCATAAGTTTAATTTAAAAAATATTTTTTTGAAATTATTCCTTAGCCATTTTGCCATTTTGTTTGTTATTATGGGATGTTTGTTTTAAAAGTAGTAATTCCAGGATCCTTATAAGATTTGCAATTTGATTAACATAGAAAATTTGAAAACTAGTTTACCTGATCAATCTTGTTGGTGAATGGAATTTTGTCGGATAATATTGTTTCCGGATTGGTTGTTGGTATCGTTAGGGCGGCACTATGCAGAAGATTTGCTGATTGAGCCAATTTGAGCAAATCAGTGGATGTTACCGGTGTTGATCCGAATAATAAACTACACTGCTGAAGGGCAAAATAGTCAATATAATTGAACGGTAAATGATCAAATTTGTTATTAGTAAATGGAAGGCTAGCAGTTGCAGCTAACAGTGACAAAGATCGAAAATAGGAATCCATAGATGGTTCCACACAACTTTTCAAAATTGAACAATCCATTGAATCAGTGGTTTTTTGACAATTCTTGGATTCGCAATCATCGGTTAATAAATCATAAAGTACAGGTGCTAGGGAACGGAGATATTTCTGCTTGAGATCAGCTCGAGATGGTGCCGATGGTGACCAAACGGTGATATTATTGCTACAACAGGCTGTTGTTGGTATTGCTTTTGTTGTTGTCGTCGTTGTTGTTGTTGTTGTTGTCGCTGCTGCTGGTATTGTCACATATGGATGAAATCGCCGTGTATCGTTGCTGTCTATTGTACCAGATCGTCGTCGCTCCATAGCAACATTCTGATGATGATGGTGATGATGATGATGGTGATATTGTTGTTGCTGTTGTTGTTCATGATGTGGTACAATTCCTGAACCCGTATAGCTTACCTGTGATTTATGCTCATCATTACATTGTGATAGTAGCGATGGTAGTTGGATAGCTGATGTTCCGGAATAAGCAATCCGTTGTTGTGCAATAATACGCTCAATATCGCAAAGATTTCGGCATAATAAGTTAACGATTTCTGCTTCGGATAAGCTATTTGCCGCTGCTATAGGTAATGGATCAGAGTTGGATGCAATCCTGATAGCGTGATCATTCAGTACACTTCCATAAGCATCATTACTAGTCAATAGTTTCGAATAAGTAGTTACAGGTGGCATAGGATCCTCATTGATCATAGTACCCGTTGATCCGGTTGCTGTTATTTGATAACAGCTCGAGAATGCACTCTCTGTAGCAGTACTTGCAACTATCGCACCAGAAGCGATTGTTGTCGGTAGAGGTTGATGATGCTCCGATAAGGTATCATACGTGTTCGGTGAAATGTTCGTACAGGTATTTGTCGCTTTTGCACTCTTATTATATGATGCTGTTGTAAGGGAACTATGTATGAGTCGCTTTTTAATCGGTACCTTTTTGGAGGGTAGTGATAAATTTTCGAATAAAGCTATTGGTGACGAAGATTGTTCATCCAATCCAACCTTTGATGATGGCAAAACTGATGGAGATGTTGTTCCTTTTGCCGTTACAGTGGTTGCATCCGTTAAATTGGATTCATTCTGAAGTTGTATGGTTGCTTTTGGAACGGCAATACCTTTTGATCCTTCGTTATCAAGAATCGTATTCGTTGTCACCTTCATCTCCTGAATCACTTCTCCAGTATTTCTACCAAATTCCGATCCAATATCAATTATAGATGATTCGATCATTCCCGCATTACCATCAATATCCATTGCTGTTGTCATACCGTCATCTGGTGCGCCTGAATTGTCGTGCGCATCGATATTCACTGAATAAGATGACGTGAGCATTCCGGTTCGCTTTGCTGATGGCCACCTCACACCACAATCCCATTTCATTTTATCGGAGCTATTTGCTGTTGAGTGTGAATAAAGTACATTGGGCGGTGCTCTTCCACCATCACCGTCACTATCTTCTACTTCTACTTTTTCGACCCTTTCTAGCTGAATATTATCATTTTTTCTGCTACTGCTACTTCCAACATTATTATTACAGATTAACGTTATACGTGGTTTATCCACATTACCACGTTGATTACGTTTACTTCGGTATTGGCTCTGTAATTTACGATTACAATTGTTCATACTAGATCGATTGGTCATTAGGGAATTCGGATTGCTAACAATTGTATAGGTAAAATTAGTATCAGTGCCTATATTTGATTCACTACTTGAATCTTTGATTTGTATATCTTGATTTTGAATGATTTTATCATGTGAGATAGATGTTTCCAAACAGGAAATCTGAAATGATGATTTGCATAATGTGGAAGGAGAAGTGGATGAGGAAGTAGTAGTTACAATATCAGGGTATAGATCGTTTGCTACGTCAGTATTTTGGCAAATACGCGAAAATTCTGGAATCGAAAGATTATTACAGGCTAATATTGATTGATCATTTTGTTCCAGGTGATCCATTTGAAAACTACCAATACCAGCATGTTCACCGATATCCAAATGATTTGTTAACATCACTGACGAATAAAACCAATCGCTTGGCAAACGACTTTGATTATTTCCTCGTTCTTGTTGCTCCTGTTGTTGTTGTTGTTGTTCAGCCATTTAAAATGATATGAAAATCTGTGAATTCTTTCAAATTTAAAAAGGATGATTAAATTTGTTTCAAATCATTTCTCATATTTTGTAAAAGAAAAAAAAGTTTTTTCTTTTTTGCAAACAGATATTAAATTAAAAATAATTTGATACAATAATCAACTTTCGATTTTTGTCGTTGCTGCAATTTCCTTCTATCACACATATACCTAAAATATCAAACAATGATTTGTCAATTGAAATGAATACTAATATGAATGATACAAAGCAATAAACAAATTTTATAAAAATGCATGATGAAAGAAAATGCGATAAACATTTTAAGAAAGTAAGAATAGGAAGAAGATGAAGCCAGGTGTGAAAAATGTTGAGAGAAAAAATGAGGGAGAAAAGGGTTAAATCAAGGATAAATATATTGGTGGAAGAAGTAGAAGATATTCATCAAATCATCTAAAAGGGCAACTATTTCTTTCGTTTCTTTTCTTCGTCAAACTATCTTCTATAAAATGATCATATTTATTTGAAAAGATATCGATTCCAATCTAACGATTTAAAATTATTTCATTCTTATCGTTCAGTTTTGCTTATTGTAACATTTCGTCGACATCAAATCATATCGGTTGGCTATTATCATTATCATTCAAGTGGATATTTGCAAATGATAAACAAACAAACAAACAAACAAATAATCAAACAAACAAACATTTATGAATTATGCGAAGAAGTGAAATTAAGATAGAGATAGTTTAAATAATGATAAAGGATATCATTTATCCCATTTCTCATCCTTTCATCATTTTTCATCCTTTTCTTCTTGAAAGGCTTTTTTGTTTGCTATTTGAATGATAAACAATTTCAATCAACCAATAATGATCTAAGCAATTCTTTTTTTGTTTTTTCAAATTTTTAAAATAATTAAATTTTTCTCTCATTAAAATTAATTAATATTGTTGTTGAAAAATTATTTAAAACAATTCCATTCGTTTTTTTCTTTTAATTATCTGTTCACTATCTAATCAATTTATGATGCTTTAATATAAAAGGAATTGATCAAAAAGAAATAAGACGAAGACGAGTGAGGAAGTGGAAGAAAATCTCGGGAATATATTTATGGTATTGAAAGCTTTCATTCATAACTTTCATGAATGAAATTATCCTAATCAGAAGATATTATTCCAATATCAACCTGTTTATTCATTTTATTGTTTTCTTTCTTTATAATACCGGTTTTATTTAATACGAAAATTCGGATGAGCTAAGAAATTTTACCGAAATCCTTTTTATTGTGATCAAATTTTAAAGGTAATTTTGAAAGGAGAAATTCAGAATTCTCTCTTCCTCATTATTTAATAAATACGACAATGAACCATTTGATGGAATAATACCATCCGGTTGATCCAAGAAATCCATTTAATCATTTGATCCAATAATAATAAACAATCTCTTCCGGATCATTTAAGAAATTATCCGGTTAAAGTAAGCCCTTGTTGATATCAAAATTTCCTCTCTCATCTATTCTTCTCAATTTAAATTTTGCTTCAGACCGGAAATTTTGTTAAGAAAATGTTTTATAAAAATAAAATAGGCCGATGTGAATGGTATGCATGTATGTATGTTTATGTATGTGCGTGTGTATGTGTATGTTTATGTATGTATGTGTATATGTTTGTATATGTGATGTGTGATGTGTGATGTGTGATGTGTGATGTATACGTGTGTATGTATGTATGTGTGTGTGTGTATGTATGTGGTAGTGTGTGTACTTGTTTATATATGTATGTATGTGTATGTGTATCTGTGGGTGTGTTGTACTTACAATGTACTTTTAATCTCTTTTTTTTCCTTTCTCTTATTTAATATCTTGCAATCTCTCATATACTTCTATAATTCGAATTTACTGCTTTTTTTTCTACATCTCTTCTTCCATCCTTCTCTCTTTCTCTCTCTCTCTTTCTCTCTGTTCGTCAACGATAACTAAATCAATCTTAGCTTTGCTTCTATTACCCCAATGCAAACATGTCCTATGTACTTTAAGGACATCTCTTCAAGACGTCAACAGCGTCACTCATTGTTGATTTGCTCGACTAAATTAATTCAAATCATTTCTTAAATATTTCACTGTTGTAACCTCTCTCTCTCTCTCTCTCTCTTTCTCTCTCCTTCTTAGTCCCTCTCTCTTATCATTCCATAATTACTATTCAGTCTTTGAATTATCACTATCCAATAATCTAACTTATCACTAATCACCATAATATCTGTATCATTTATTATTGTAAATAAATAAAAACAAATTTTACTTTTTCTTCTTCCTTTCCTTCTCTCTTTCTCTTTCCCTCTCCCTCTCTCTCTCTCTCTCTCTGTCTATCTATGGAAAGAAAAAAGAAAAAAACCGCATCAAAGTTAATTTGTTGGAAAGAGTTAATGAATATCGTGAACTCTGACCCTCTAATAATATCACTTTCAACATCACTGAGAGAATATACAGGAATGTCAGGTATCTCTCATACCTTTCCATCTTCACTTCATTTGGTAAATCAAATCATCAGCTGGTTGTTATATTTCATTAAATGTGAATGCCGCCTTTTTATCATAATTACCCTGGATGACCGTATGACCTTTACCTGGCTGTATTAAATGATTAATGCAAAATTGATTGATGAAAGACTAGATTATGATTTTAAAAAAATGAAGCAAAAATAAAAACTTTTTAACCAAACTTGAATACCGTATCATATCGTTCAAGGTTTGGAATTCATTAAAGAGAGAGGGAGAAAGAGAGAGAAAAGGAGAAGAGAAGAAAGAGGGAGAGAAAAAGAATTATCATATGATGAAATAAGCTTAAAAGTAATTTTCTATTTACATGATACATTATTCTTCTATTAAATAATAAGCATTAGTAATAATCATTACAATAAAATGTTAAATAATTTAAGTTTCAAAAATTATTTTAAATTTGATAAAAAAATTAAAACATTTAATCAATTAACAAACAATAGTAATATTAATAGTAATATTCATTTTTATAGTTACAATAATAATCAATAGTAATATTCATTTTTATAGTTATAATAATATTAATAATAATAATTAATAAAAGCAAAAAAATAAAATTATCATTTAAAAAAAGAAAGCTAAGAGAATAAGAAAACAAAGGAAGAAAGAGAGAGAGAGAGAGAGAGAGAGAGAGAGAGAGAGAGAGAGAGGAAAATCTTGGTAAAACCAGTCAGTCATTGATGAAATATTATCAAAGTACACTTCCACTTCCATAATTTTAGGCATCAAACAAAAAAAAAATAAATAAATTCATTTTAAAATAAAAAAAGTTTAACGAACAATTTGCACAGTGTTTCCAACTCTAAAAACATGTTATATTATAAATAGCAATAAACTGACTAACTGACTAACTAACTGACTAACTAACTGACTGACTGACTGACTGACTGACTGATTGGCTGGCTGACTGGCTGGCTGGCTGGCTGGAATGGGGTGGTTGATAAGTCAGTCAAATGGAAAGGAATGGCAAAAGTGAAATAAAAAATAAAATAAAGAAATGAATATAAGGAGAGAAAAATTGGAAAATTGATGAAAAGAAGATAATAAATATTAAAAAACGAAAGAAAGAAAGAAAGAAAGAAAGAAAGAAATTGATTTATTTTTCTATTAGAAAAAAGAAAAAGAGGAAGAAAAATAATTATTTGATTGATAAATAATTATGATAATATGATAAATAATCATGATAATATATGTATTAACATTTATAGCGATAACATCTAAAATTATAAAAGGAAAAAATTGTGAAGAATAAAAAAGAAGTAAGTTCATGGTTCATTATCATTACATGAACTTTTACAAGTGTTAGAGATAAATAATGATAAGAAGTTGTTGTACTTTTTCATTGTAAAATGTAATCAATCCGTTTTTTTTTTTTCACATTTTTCTTTTTCTTTTCTTTCTTATCATAATTGCGGTAAAAGAAAAAGGAAGATTCTTTATTCTACAATAGATATTACAATGATTATCAAAAATTATTATTTATGATTCTTTTTCCATATAGATTTATGATAAAATATCGCATCATTTTTATATTCGTCAAAATTATTATTTAATTATTTTATATTATATATTACAAAATATAGTGTATTTTCCTTACAATTGGTTATACGATTAAATATAGCATTTTTTTTTTCAAATAAAATATACTTGTTAAAATAACATTACTTCATTATTTTATATTATGTATTACAAAATATAGCGTTAGTTACTTAATTATTTTATATTATAATATAAAACTTTCCTTATAGTTAGTTATATGATTAAATGTAGCATTTTTTTCTGGTAATTATACTGGAATTTATTCGTGTTTTCGCATTTAATAGACACAAGTGTTAAGACTATTTGACAGTTTTTAACCGAATCGGAAATTAAGAAATCCGAACATTCCTAATGATATGTTGAAAATT